AGATAGATAGATATTAGATACAATCAATCAGCAAGCATTTATTAAGACCTATGCTTCAGCCATTGTGTTAAGTGCTGAGGATCCCAAGACAAAAGTGGAAAACACCCTTCCCTCAGGGAGGTTTATGTTCTAATGGGGTGGATAGCCTGTCCAAGTGGGGAAGGGCAGGTAGGTACTAGCAGCCTGGGGCTTCGCTTAGAAGGCAGTGCTTAAACTGAGCCTTGAGGGAAGCTGGAGATTCTCGGAGGCAGAGGTGAGGAGACAGTTGTGCCAAAGCGGTGTTGAGAGACGGTTTGTGAACGAGACAGAGAGGGATCTGTTTGGCTGGATTCACACAGTCTAGGATGGGGAGGAATGCCCAGTGAAGCCAAGAAGAGAGGCTGGGACCAGGTGGGGAAAAGCTTTCAAAGTGAATTAGGGAGTTTCTGTTTGATTCCAGTCCCAGGAGTTTGCTGAGTAGGAGCTGACACGCTCATAGTTCCTAAAGAAAATCACTTTGGCAGCTGTTAGAAAGATGAACTAGAGGTACGGGGGACATGGAACAAGGACACCATCATGGCGGGGTCTGCCGAGTCAACAAGCATTTATTAAGCACTTACTGTGCACCAGGCACTGTGCCAAGTGCTGAGGATACAAAGAAAGGTTCCACAACAACAAACATCAGTCCGAGCTCCCGAAGAGCTCCCCGTCCAGTGGGGGAGACAGGATACAAACCTGGATGCACAAACAAGCCGTGGACAAGCTAAACTGGAAATCACCAACAGAGGGAAGGTCCTAGAATTAAGGAGGATGGAGGGAGATGGGCTTCTTGCAGAAGGCAGGATTTTAGGTGGGGCTAAAGGCCCCTGGTAGAGATGAGGAGGGAGAGGATTCCAGGGACCGAGGACTGCCAGTGAAAATGCCTGGAGTCAGCAGAGGGCGTGGCTTGTTGAAGGATCTGAAAAAGAGGCCAGTGGCACTGGATGGGAGAGTACCTGGAGAGGAGTAGGATGTAAGAAGAAAGGTCGGAAGCAGCCAGGTCATGAAGGGCCCTAAGAGCCAAACGGGACCATTTCTTTGACCCTGGGGAAGCTGGTAGAGTTAACTAACGGGGTCAGACCCATGCTTTAGGAAGCTAAATGAAGCATGAACTGGAATGGGGTGAGATCTGAGGTGGGCAGCCCTGACAGCAGTGGTCTGAGCTCCAGGGGATAAGGGCCCGCACTGGGTGGGTGACAGCTCAGAGGAGAGAACGGAGTATGTACTAGAGACGTGACGGAAGTGGAAAGCCCAGGCCTTGGCAAACGATGGGCCATCTTGGGTGAGGGAAGGATTGGGGAGAGAGAAGGTTAGAGTTGACCCCAGGTGGTGAGTTGGGTGACCAGGAGGATGGTGGTAACTTTGATGATAATAGGGAATTTGGCAAGGGGATGTTTGGGGGAGAGATAATGAGATCAGTTTTAGGCATGTTGGGCTTCCTCTGGCCCACCTAGTTCACAGAGCCATACAATCCAAACAACATAATTAGTGATGGCCAAAAACACACATATCTACCCTGCCTGCCGAAGGGTGCTGTGACTTGCTTTGGAGACTGTGCTAAAAAATCATTCTTTAAAAGAAAAACCAAGTAAGGATCACTCAAAATGGAGAAGAGAAGGTAAGGAGATGGACTCAGGCATCAGCAGGGAGATATGTGGAAGAGGAAGAAGGATTCATCGTGCTTGTCCCCAGAGGGCAGAACTCAGAACTTCAGGACCAAAGTTTCAGAGACAAGGGGCTCAGTGGGAGGGGGCAGTGTTCTAACAAGGAAAGCTCTCCCAGGGCAGGAGGGACAGCCTGGGGGCTTCCCTCTGCCCCGGGAGGCTTCAAGCAAAGCCTGGATGACCTTCATGGGTTTGGGTGGGTAGGCCTTGGATTGGGTGGCCACCGAGGGAGGGCCTTTCCAACTCAGAAATTCTGTGAAAACAGCATCTGATGACTCCCAAACCGAGGGTATGCTGCCCAGGAAACCCCCGGTCCAAAGCCAAGTGTGAATCTGATTCTCTCACACAGGTAGCCTCCCAGCTAGCTGCACAATTCTTCTGGGAGAAAATCCTCCAGCGATGGCCCCAAGTCCTTGGAAAGGAGAATCCATTCAACGATCAGATTGAGCGCCTGTTTGGAGATCAAGGAGGTCACTGAGTGCTGGGGGCTCCTCAGGCAGCCCTTGCTCTGACTTGAGGAAGCTAGAACCAGGACAGGTGCAAATCCTCCCTTGGCCCCTGCCCTCCATCAAAATGAATATATAGCAAGGTAGCCAGGCCCGGCATGCCCCGAGCCGTACAGTAGCATCTTCCTCACACCCTTGGCGCTCTGGGGCCTCAGCTCTCATCTGTGCTCACTGTCATACATTTCTCCATTAGGATGTAAGCTCTTTCAGGGCATGAACCATTTCTTGTCTGTCTTTGTCCCTTGCCTAGCCCGGTGCCTTACTTACAAGGCAGCTAGGTGGTGCAGTGGCTAGAGTCTGGAATCAGGAAGACCTGAGTTCCAATCTAATCACAGATCAGACACTAGCTGCGTTGGCCCTGGGCATGTCACTTAATTTCTGTTTGCCTCAGTTTCCTCAACTGTAGAACAGGATAATAACAGCACCTATCTCACAGGGTTGTTGTGAGGATCAAATGAGGAAATTGTGAAGCACTTAGTAGGGGACCTGACATATAGTAAGTGCTAAGTGCTTATTCCTTGCCCCTTACTCCTACTAAGTACTTAATACATCCTTGTTGAATGTAACTACATTAAATTGAGGCAGTATTTTTTCCCTTATCAGAGTGGATTTTCTAGTAAAAATCAAGAAATAAAAAGACCCCTGTGAGATCTCAGGCTGCAGCATTTGCATGTTCCCAACTGCGTGGATCGTTGGCTGACTGGCAGCGCCGATACGCTGTTCAGATGCCTTTTCCCCTCCTGCTTGTGCCCGGCATGTTGATGTGCCTGGCAGGCTTCACTCCCCTCGCGTGAACTGGCTCAGAGCCCTACGGGAAAAGTCAGTCCTGCCCACTGAAGCCTTTTTCTACCAGGCCTTGGCTTCAGAAACAAAGGGGAAACGGGGATTGGCTCACGGGAAGTCGTCATGGTGGAGGATTACCTACAGCACAAGCTGCTGGCGGGCAGGGGAGGAAGAGGCGAGGCAAGCCATGTTTCCTTGAGGACAGCACCCCCTCCTGGCCTCTTCGAGAACAGCGCCAGAGCCCTCTCATCCTCCTCGCGTCGCTTCTTCAGCCCCCCAGCTGGACGGCTGAGGCTTTTATCCCCATGGTCACGAGGGAGAAAGAACAAGCCCCCGGAGGCGCTGGGCTTTGGCTAGACTGGCCCAGCCTCAAAACGAGGTCTCCACCTCGAGGTGCCGCCGACCGGGCTTGCTAAGGCCCCAGGTGTTGGTTTTCCGTAATTATTGTTAGATCCTAGACACGAATTAGGAAAGGCTGATGGGAAATGGTCCTCGATGTTTCCCAGCTGACAGCAGCGTCCATGGAAATGTGTAACTCTGTCTTCCCACTACCCTAGAACTGCAGAAATGCAACTCCCCTAAGAGAATCCCCAAAGGACAGGACCCGGGTAACAAACTAGCCTGACCCCAGGCCACCGGGAGCTGAAGGTCGTTCTCAAAGAGAAAAGAATATCAACAGTCACTTGGCTTCACAAATGTCCTCTGAGACCAGGAGGGTCAGCATTAGGGATTTCAGGCCAAACATCCCCTGCTTCCTCAGTCTTCAGCTGGGCTCATTGAGGACCTCACTAACATAGGAAGAGCCACCAAAATGCCCAGTTTCCAGAAGGAGGCGAGAAAGCCAGACCATGAGGGCACCCCTTGACTCACACTATAGGTCCCCCACACACGCCTTCCTCCATTTCAAGTTGTGTTGCCAATTCTCATCAAAAACCTAGCTAATGCCGTCCCTGCTAGGACGTTTGTTTTTAATCTTGAGCCGGGGGATTCGATTCAGTTACAGCAAAGACATTTAATGAAATAGCATAGTAAGAAAAACAGTAAAACATTTTCACATAAGCCTGAGGAACGTTCTCCCACCGTCAATGGGAGGATGGGTTTGTGTACAGAGCACGGAAGGAATATGTGTGGCCAGGGCCCGCATATGTATAATGAATCTCATCTTTGTGGGAGTTTGAGAGGCCAAAGGGCCAGCTGCATGGCATCCAGAAAGGGACACCATCTATACATGAGCTCAAGACTGCAATAACGTCGTGGGAAAGGCCAGGAGATGGGGGAGATTTTCATACGGACACAGCTCAACCCTTCCCCATTGACTGTTTCACAGGCTCCATCCTAGAGAGAGATTCCTGGTTTGCCACTCCATCCCCTTTGAGTCTTTCAGAAGGGCCAATCTGCCCTCTTTCCCATTCAGATGCTACTGTGGGAACCAGAGAGCTGAGAGAGAGGGAGCAGTGGAAAACCACGGCGGGTGCCCCCAGAATCGTCAGTGTTCTTGCTGCTTCCGTGACATCTGTCTGCTCTGACGGACCAATCAGCTCTGAATCCTGGGACCTGGAACAGAAAGGCAAGTTTCCAGCCGAGGTTAAGGGATGCTGCTTCCCAAGGGAGTTCCAGAGTGCCCAGAGTGACCAGCAGTTACAGAGTTAGGAGGAATGGAAAGCAGAAGGGGGCAGGGAGAAGGATCTTTCTCTCATTTACCCTCCTTACCTGTCTGTCATACACAATGTACACGTGTGTATATGTACATGCATATCACACGCTTACATATGCACACACACGCAATACACATGTATGTGTGGACATTGTGTGGTGTGTAAATGTGTGTGCATGCACACATACGTATACATTTACACATGTGTAAACTCTATTTTAATAATGTGCCCATTTTAAAAGTCAATTGTTTGAGTCTGTTTTGTATGAATAAAGATGGTTAAGAGCAGGTTTCTCAAAAATGCGCTAGGGGTGGAAACATCAAGATTTTCCCAGTGTTACTATTTCAGAGCGATATTCCACGTGTATAACTCTGTATCATTGAGGCCAGCCTCCAGGAGCTGTGTGAGCTCAAGACGGCAGGACTGCAGATCATAGGCTGAGCGCCCTCTGCTGGACAAGGGGCATGCAGCAGCCTTTGGGAACTCCCGCGGCGCATACACAGGGAATACACCCCGTGGAGAAGAAATCGCTTGCTGGAGGCTGGTTGCTTGAGGGCACGCCACCTGCTGGCCGGACGACGTGCTACGCTCCATCCCCGGCTGATTGACTGATTGATTGACAGCCTGTTGTTGTGGAGCTTACAGAAAGCAGGGGAGGGAATGAGCCAGGGCAGCTGCTGTTAATTATGCGGCACCACTGGTGTACATATAATCCACATTAGCTGTCACACATGGAAGTACACACATCCAAGGATATCTGTGATCGGGTTACAAATCACAAATCACAAATCGGGGACAGCTCACACCTCCCTTGCTGCCTGACCGTCCAGGTCCTCTGGCAGAGTCGTTGCCCCCTCAGGTCTCTCGGGACACCAAGTCTCTACCGAGAGCATGATTTCTGTCCAGTGGGGAGTGTGGGGCACGGCATTTGCCTTTGCTTCCCCTGCTGGTCTCTCCTGGCCACTGTGGGATGCTCCTCCCTCAGCCTTGGACTCTCTTCTGGTCACTGCTTGCACGGCACCACAGGCTAGCCCTTTTCTTTCCTTCAGCTGAGAGGCTACCTCTTCTCCATGACAGGAATAGTGGGCTCGGCCACCTCTCTTTTAGCTCAAAGCCCAGAAGCATTTAGCTACAGCTCCCACACCCTTCATTGGACTAGCAAAAAGTGCTCAGTGGCTTTTCCTCCCATAAAGGGATGGGGGTGGTCTGTCCGGACCCAAATGTTCTATTGAACTGCAGAAGACATTTCCTCACCAAGAGTCTTCTTGCCTCAGAATTCGAGGCCTTTGGAACAAACAGACCCATCTCTCCTAATTTGTGCCTTCAAGCTTACATCTAGTTTTTAACTGTAGCTTCCCAATGACTAAAGTCAAGGTCTCTCTGTCAAAAGCCTCCATCTAACCTATGTTTAAAAATTCCTCATGGTTCCTTGCTTAATGTCTGAATGTTTCATTCAGTTGGTATCCATTCAACTTATTGCCAAGGATGGATAGATGTATGTGTATATATGTATATGCATGTGTACATAACAATACCTATATATAAATATATCCATGCTTAATTATAGTCTGGAAGGGAGGAAGGGGAAAAAAAGAACAAAGTAAAAAATGCACAGCAGAGAACAAAAGAAAACTTACAAGGAAGAAAAGACGGACAGCTTCCAACACAACATGCAGTATTTAATAGATAGGCTTTCTTGAAATGGAAAGTTATTGCTGTATATTTTGAATCCTCTCTTACGTTCTGTTGTACTCATGGCAATGCTTTTATTCTTTTTTTATTTTATATTTGTTTTAATATTTAAGTTTATAGTGTTTCTTTTTCTTTTCTTATTACGTATTTGTTTTAGTATTTGTCTAAAATAAAGAAATAAGGAAATATTGCCAAGGAGTTTGGGGGGCCCCTATGGTTTTTTTGTGAGGCAGTTGGGGTTAAGTGATTTGCCCAGGGTCAAGTGTCTGGTCTGAGACCGGATTTAAACTCAGGTCCTCCTGACTCCAGGGCTGGTGCCTGTGCCACCTAGCTGCCCATTCCCTAGGTTTAACCCCCATGTTCTTTTGATCAGCCATGCAGATGGATGGGGTGGGAGAGGCACAGGAAAAGTGGTAAGTGCCGGGGCTTTCTCTTCCATCTAGCAACATTCCTGCCTTTATCATATGTGTGTGTTTGGCTATAAATTGCCCATAGACAGTTATCATGGTTTTAGATACGTTCTGCGGCAAAATTGGATTGAGATGGAGAGAAGAGGAGAAAGGGATGTGTCTCAAAATTGGAATGTTTAGTGCACATATCTCCCATTTCTGTCAATACCTTCAGACCCAACCTGGAGTCACCAGAACAGTGAAAGCTGTCCAAATGACCAGATACTGGAGGGAGGTGAGGTGTGCAGGAGTCAGGATGAATAATGTAGTAAATTGGACTGAGAAGTCTTCAGAGAAGCACAATCACCATCTTCAAAGCTCTATCAAAACGTGGCTAGCTTATTTTTTATTCTTTTTTATTTATTAATTTATTTTTAGTTTTCAACATTCACTTCCATAAGCTTTTGAATTTTCAATTTTCTCCCCCTCTTTGGCCTCCCCCTTTGCCACGATGGTATAGAATCTGATGTAGGCTCTACATATACATTCATATTAAACATATTCTCACATTAGTCATGTTGTGAAGAAGAATTCGGACTGGTGGGAAGAACCACAACAAAGAAGAAACAAAACAACGATAACAAAAGAGAGCGGACAGCATGCTTCAATTTGCAGGCAGACTCCATGGTTCTTTCTGTGGATACCGACGCATTTTCCATCATGAGGCTTGGAGTTGTCTTAGATCCTTGCATTGCTGAGAAGAGCCGAGTCTATGAAAGTTAGTCATCGTACAATGTAGATGTTACCGTGTACAATGTTCTCCTGCTTCTGCTCACTTCACTCTGCATCAGTTCATATAAGTCTTTCCAGGTTTTTCTGAGATCTGCCTGGATTTTAGAACAATAGTATTCCA